TGCACAGGGCACTTCCAGGACACGCATGCTAAGACTGCACAGGGCATGTCCAGGACACGCATGCTAAGGCTGCACAGGGCATGTCCAGGGCACGCATGCTAAGACTCAGTAGTGTCCACTGCGGTTATGCTTCAGTGCCTTTTCATAATTCTGAAAAATGTCTGACAATAGCTTCATAAACTCTGCTTGGCAAAATTTCTGTGTAAATGGGGGCCACGGCACACATGCCAGCACCCTGCTGGCACTGCCACCAACACACCCAGAACAGATTAGTGTTCACTCACCACCCTGAGCATTTGCCAGGGGTCACACATACCAATAAGGTCTTCCCTGTCAACCTCCAGAGAGCTCCCAGTCTGGTGTGATAAACTGTGGGGTCCCTAAGCTCATTGCTGGGATAGAAGCCATTCAGTGTGGTGTGAGGAAAGAAACAGGGCGTTGGCTCTAGCCAAATTGTGGCTTTTTTCTATGGCAGCTTACCCAGTCATGGCATTGTTTGTGAAAGCAGCTTCAGAGAGAAATGGTGAAGGGCAGCGCATTATATGCAAGCTGGATGGATTCTACCCAGAAGCCTTTGACATAAAGTGGGAGAGAGGCACCCTGAAGGATCCCCACTTCCGAGTGATTACTGACGGCATCGTCACTGGTCCCACGGTGAAGAATGATGATGGCACCTTCAGTGTTACCAGCTCCTTGGCCCTGAAACCAGCTCTGGAAGATCGTGGGATTATCTACCACTGTGTGGTGTCACACAAATCCTTGCTTGTTCCCAAGAAGCTCAATCTCACACTGCCTGAGAAAGGTAAACATCCTCCTGCTCCCTGCCCCCACACTTGAGGACATGTGACTGGATGCTTGGGATTTTGAGAAGTCTAGGACCTTTGCTGGGGAAGGAGAGGAAATTTGGGGCTAAAGGAGAACAAGCTTCTAATTCAGCTCAGACCTCAGAGTCAGCAGTCCAGATTTAGGTCCTGTGCTGATGGTCCAGAAGTAGACGGGAGGTGGGGAGTATAGTGCCATCAGGGCTGTTTGTCAGCTCAGAACAGCCTAAGAATCTGGATTTTCCTGTGACAGGGAGTGGGCAGCTTGCCAGCTCCTTGGAGACCAGGGCCAGCATCATCCTCTGAGGATAAGAGACTGTCAGGGACCAGGGACCAGGGACTAGCTGCACCAGCACGCTTCCTAGTCACTTTATAGGTCCCCTTAAATGCTGTCTTATGTTTAAATCCAATCAGTAGTCTGTGAGATGTGTATCAAGACAAGGAGATCTCCAGGGTGGCAGGCAGAGTAAATAGACATAAGGCTAAACCTAAAGCTGAACATTTATTACTTAAAGAAGAGGCAGAGAGACAGAGAGACAGAGAGACATAGAGACATAAAAACATAGAGACAGAGAGAGACACGTGTGCACACGCCGGGAGAGAGGGACAGAAGAGGTTAAGATGGCGACCAGGAGGTCAGAAGTCACGGGGAGTGGACGTGGCTTGCCCTTAAAGGGACCAAAGCAAAAGAATAACAAAGTCTAGGATGATCTTCTAACTTCTACTTCCAGAAGGCTAGAATTATAGGTCTATGTCCCTGCACCTAGCTTAATGCTGTGCTGGGCCTTGAGCCCAGGACTTCGTGCTTGTGGGACAGACCCTCCACAGTGGGGAGACATCTCCACTCCCTTCCTTTATTTATGTTTGAAACAAGGTTTCGGTTTGTAGCCCAATTGCCTTGAACTCCCAAACTCCCTAAGGCTGGGCTTCCAGGTGTGTACCACTGAGCCAGCCACCAGACCATACTTTGCTGTGCTAAATAAATACGCTGACGTCCAGATGTGCGTGTTAGGAATGGTGGCGCAGAGGCCTGGTGGTGCATCTCCAATGAGAAGTGACACCAGCCACACAGATTTCAGCACCAGTCCTGTGCAGTCTTGGACCCAGTAAGTTTTGTGTGTGTGTGTGTGTTGTGTGTGTGTGTGTTTGTATTTGTATCTATTCCTGTTGCTGTCAGAAAATGCCCCAACAAAGGCAGCTCAATGAAGAGAGGGCTTCTTCTTGGCTTCTCATTCAAGGGTAAGTCTGTCAAGGCAGGAAAATGATGGCAGCAGGTACTTGAGACAGGTGGCCGCAGTGTGTGTGAAGTCAGGACACAGAAGAACCTGAGCGCTCAGCTTGCCTTTTCCTTGCTCAGTCAAGGACCCCAACTTACTGAACAATGCCAGGCACAGTTAAGTGTGTCCTCCTTCATTAGTTAACCTAATATAGATAATCCTGCACAGATGTGCACAGAGGGTTGTCTGCTACATGATTCTCGGTCCTATCAAGTTGACTGTAATGACAATCACAACATCTCCCCCTCTCTCTCTCCAGGATCTATGGAGATATATGTTACTATTGTTTCTCCCAGTGTTCTACTGGGTTTAGTGCTAATTCTCTACTGGCTCTGGAGATGGTAAGTACCTTAAGACAAAGCACAGGCCTGTGTCTAGATCTTGCCTTCGGGTATGTGTGATCACAGTCACCAGACAGTGTCAGGAGCTCTGGGGATGTGCGCTGGGGCGTTCTGTCTTGTTTTCTGATGTTGCTTTAGGACAACGTTTTCTCATCTGGTCTCTTCTCCATGACTCTGCCTGTCCATGGGATACGACTTGCACTGGGAATCACAGCTGACCCTGTTGTTGAGACCAGGGCTTTGAACTGTACTGGACTGGAGTGTTCTGCCACACACAAAGTCATCAGCAGAGGGAGTCAGTGACCTTGTTGCTCATATTTTGTTAACACCTTAGTGGGCTAACTGACTACAAGTTTTCAGTGGGGGACCAAAAATTTCTAAGTCCCCATTGGATATCTCTAAATTAAATTTCTGATCCCAACAAAGCACATAGTGCAGTTGCTTTAGAGGATCAGGACCCAGTACAAACATGCTGGTTATAAGGGTCTAGGTTGTCAGGTGATCATCACCACTGATGGGCCTGCCGAGGCACCATCTGCGTGGCTGATGCGTCTCATTGCACTGCATTAGGAGAATTGGGACAGTCAGAGAAGAAAATAAGGACTGCTGGGCTGCAGAGATGCTCGGCGGGTAAGCGCACTTAATGCTCTTGTATAGGGCCTGGGTTTCCATTTCCCAGCACCTACATGGTGACTCATAACTCCTCGAAAACATCTGCTCATCTCCACAGGACCATGTCACGGACGGTGACCAAAAACTCATGCAGGCCACACACAAGCACATAGAAACAATACAGAAATAAGTCTGTTTTTAAAAGACGAAGAAAAGAAAGGCTGCTGATCCAACACAGGCCAACTGTTTTCTGGGGCTTACTTTCCTGGCTAGGGCTGAGCCAATGGGAAGCCTGCTCATAAGGTTTTATGAAAGGGTTTCTTGTCACGTTGATTGCTGTCTTTTGCTCTTGCCTTTCTCTAGCTGCTATGCGGGTGCTGCTTAGCACTTAGCAGGAACCCTGGAGTGAAAAGGGCACAAAGCCCATGACTTGGCCTGAATCTTGCATCCATTTCTTCTGTCTTTACTTCGTCCGTCAGTGTCCTTCACGAGTCGACAGCTCCAACTGTGTGACATGCTGTCAGCTGAGAAAATTTAAGCTGTCATTTAAAGATCAATTTTTAGGATTATTTTCTATGTGATATTACTAATCATGAAAACACAGTATGACAAAACTTCCAATAAAAGCAGTCTGCAAGGGACGTTTCTAGCTCTAAGTGCCTACTAAGATAAATATCTTGATGGTACACCATAGGGCCTTAGAAAAACAAGCTCAAGCCAAACCCCAAATCTACAGTTGGAAGAAATTAAGATTAAGGCAGAGATGAATCAAATGGAAATGAAAAAGTATGTTAATGACTCCAAAGAGTCCTTTTGTATCAAATCCTTACTCAGGCTACTGGCAGAAAGCAAAGCCTCACCTTAATAAGGTCAGAGATGAGAAGGGAGCCATCGAGAAGCTCAGGGGAATTCTAGGACATTCTTTAAAAATAGGCATTCCGCTAAATTAGAACATTTTTAAAGTATTGAATGAATGACTTGGTATATATGGTCTTCCAGAGTTAACCCCAGACTAGATAAATAATTTAAACAGATCTGTTAGGAGAAATGAGATTATGTAATGATAATGATAATGACAATAAGAGCAACAATGTCTCCAAACAAAACAGTGTTCATCTCTGTCCAAACCATACATGGTTTGGATTGCAGAAAAATATACATGCTTCTAACAAATCTGTAGTTTTTGCTAGGACTCAAAGGTAGGAGTCCATTCCTTCTGTTTGCAGATGCCCGTTATCTGCTCTCTTTCTACAGTATGGGTTTTTCTTTAAGTAAATAAATTTTAACTTCTGTTCCTAGTTTAAACTTATCTCAGTAGGCTTCCACTTGGCTGGCAGACGCATCTAGGCATCAGTGTTGACTACAACCTGCTCTGAATGGTGGTGAGCCCTGGGCTTCCTGAAAGCTGATGTGGACCAGTCCAGCTGATGTGAACACTCACTGTTCCTTCAATGAAGTCTGATGAGTGCCCCATTGCCTAAATGCTCCCCCCTTTGGCTAGCCTTTCAACCTGCTTGGGCCTAGATTGGGTCCTGTCTTCGGTGCTTGTGAAGGGGGAAATGTGGGAGCCAGCCATGATAAGCTAAATATGAACAGGTCACCCAAAGGAAGTTCTTTACTTCCAATCATTATCACCTGCCAGAGTAGGACTCGGCCAAAGATGAATTTAATAGAGGCCTGAGTCTCAGTAGTTTACCCTGAACCATACCTGGTTGCAGGAAGAACCACAAGCTGATCCTATCTACAGCAGTTGGATCACCTGCCAGCACACATTCACCAGGACATCCCTAGACAAATGTGAGCCAATCAAGTGTCCTGAACTTCATAAACCCCACCTTTACTACTACAAAATCCTATTCTAACTGAGTTCAGGGTTCTCCCTTTATTCCAATATGTTGGACATGCAGAGAGACCAAGTATTAAAATAAAGGCTCTTTGCAAAAAAGAAAAAAAAAAGCAGTGTTTAGGCCCTGACATCACCGGTAAAAGCTACCAGATGTTCAGTGAAGCAATAACAGCAGCCTTCTAAACATAGGAAAGAAAAGACCACCACCACCAAACTCTCTTAGAAAGTCAGCATTAGCATCATATCAAAACAAGATGAAGACATAACAAGAAAGGAAGAGGGTTTTTTTTTAACATTTATTAATTATTTATTTTTTACATGCATGTGAGCTTGCCCATGGGTATGGAGGTCAGGAAAGAAATTACTGTGTTTTCACGAAACTCAGGTAGGAGACAAGGATGTCCACTTTCTCTGATCTTATTCAATATACTTCTTAGAATCTTAGCTAGGGCAGTATAACAAGAGAAGAAAATAGCTATTTATACCTATCTATTTGTCTATCATCTGTCTGTCTGTTGGTCTGTCTGTCTGTAATCAAGGCAAACAGAGGAATATCAGGTACAGTAAGATGGCTTAGCCTGGGCACCTGAGTTCCATTTCCAGAATACAAGTGAAGGCAGAAGAAAAGAGCCAACTTTGTATAGTTGCCCTTTGACCTCCGCACCCTCCCCCATGGCATGCCCTTCCCCCTCACACGCATACACAGTAAAACAGGAATGTGGAGCTTAGGTAGGAAGGAAACACCAAGGTCTCCTTACATGCAAGTGATATGAGAGACCCTCAACAACCCCACAAGTGTACTGCATACGTTGATGTTTTTAAAATGACATACTTGTAAGCAAGTTTTTAAAAGTGTTTTTAGTGTCTTTGACTAGGAATTTGTAAAGCTGTGTATATGAACTTGATGTATTATTCAAAAGTTTACAAAGCCAAGTGATCCATGGTTGCTCTCTTTTATGTGAAATATACTGTGACCAAGGAAAGACTTCACAAGAACAGTCCTGCTATTTGAAGTCCTTATCTACCTGTTTGCCTTGAAATAAGTGTTTTGTTGTTATACGTATGAGATGCACTTGCACTGCAGAGAAATGGTCTGTTTGTGGACACGGTGCTCAAACCCTGAGAGGCCTTACAGTGTTGTCCGACTGAACCAAATACCTTAGGTTATTCTTCACTAATAGATGATGGATTCATAGAGAAGAGGTTTCTGTGCACTGCCGATGATCAGTGCTGGTTCCTTTATATGCTAAAGATATTTGTGTTTCTCTTGTGTTACATAAACCTTCTAAGATTCAAAGCTTAGGGGAACAGGAAGCTAATGTCCTCCAAACTAGAACTGTTACTGGTGCTATATGAGGCAGGACAGGAAAACAGGGGAGATAATGGGGAGAGGATGGAGCCCCCTGCTGGGGAGTCTGGTTGGAGCCTCTCACCAGCTTAAAAAAGTTTCACATTGATAAATTGTGTGACTGTGGTTGACAACAGGGACATTTATGTGAAGGGTGTTAAAATAGCACACACTAGGCCTGCGTTCCAGAACCCCAGGGAAGGTCTCCCTCCTCCCCCATGTGTTCTTGGGAACTTCCTAAGTAAGAATAGCTTTGTTTACAGTGGGCCGTGCTAACTGCCTGTATTTCTACAACCTAGACTTGTTCCCCTGCCAGGTGCGCTTCAGGGACCACCCTTTAGAGACAGTGACTTCCAAAGTCACTCTGTCTAATCCAGGCGTGGCATTGCATACCTTTAATCTAGCACTGGGAGTTAGATCTTTGTGAATTCGAGGCCAGCTTGATCCACATAGTGGGTTCGAGGCCAGCCAGGACTACACAATGACACACTGCCTCAAACAAGTAAGAGAAATAGTAAATTCTGTGTATTAGTATTGTAAAGCCAATGAAGGAAGGTTGTTCTCTGGAAAACCCATGACCGTGGGGTGCTTTTTTTTTTTATTTTCACCAAAGTGCCTTTTTCTCAGTCCTTGTGTTGCAATGTGTAGTAAAATCTCTTTGTAATAAACTCCAAATATTCTCGATGGTTTGTTTTGTTAATTCTTTTCTTCAGTGTGTCAGAAGCTGAATTTTCTGTGGCAACATTAAGAATCCAGCTGTACCTGAGTCAAGGTCTCCAAAAGCTTGAAAAACTCCTCCAGCCGCAAGTGGCAGTTCTGGGCTGTCTCCACGCCAACGGCTGCAGCACCTTTTCTGGGCCTGGGTTGGATTTTTTGGAACCCTGTGGGTGAATTCCCTCTGGGCCTGCATGCTACTTTGGTTTCTTTGTTTCTTCTGTTTTCTGTCAAGACCCACATGGTGTTTAATAAGTACCCTGACTCCAGAAAAAACAATCCTCAGGGCCAGCCACTCTGTTCCTGGGTCAAAGCAGGTGCTAGGCAGCCTTCCTGGGGCATCATTATGAGGCTGACTCTCCAGATGTGGCAAGCCTCTGTCCTAGTGAGGGATTCTGCTACTGTGAGGGAACACCACAACCAAAGCAACTCGGGGAGGAGAGGGTTTATTTGGCTTGCACTTCCATGTCATTGTTCATCATCAAAGGATGTCAGGACGAGAATTCACACAGGGCAGGAATGAGGAGGCCATGGAGGGTGCTGCTCACTGGCTTGCTCGGTCTGCTTTCTTATAGAACCCAGGATCATCAGCCCAGGGATGACCCCACCCTACATGGACTGAGCCCTCTTCCATCAGTCACTAATTAAGAAAATGTCCTATAGGCTTGCCTATAGCCTGATCTTAGAGAGGATTTTTTTATTATTATTTTAAAAGTTGTATAAGGCCAGATTATGAGGGTGCTACGAGACTGGGTGATCTGTCAAGAATTTTCAATGACAAAGAGCAATGATCTAAAAAAAACCTTTCCATTTTGCATTTGGTATAACTATCTGCTAGCAATGTAACCATTTAGTTAACTACCTGTTAACTACCCAGAGAAATCAGACTTATCTCTAAACATGAGGTAACAAAATCTGTTTATTAAAAAAAATAAAGTGTAGTAACTTTTTATAAAACCACAGGTACTTAGCTGAAATTAAGACATGGGTTGTTAGTATCCTGTCACACCTTAGCCCTGCCTCTTGGGAGCCTGGCATAGTGCGTCACCCTGCCTCCCATGGCAAGCGGTGCGCTGACTACGCAGGTGCAAAGGTCCCTTTAAGGGACAAACTCCACCGACTCCTGATCTTTCCATTGCTCTTCTGAAGAGCCAATCAGGTCTTTGTTTTTCTATCTCTCTCCCCCTTCTCTCTGTCTCTCTCCCTTCCCTCCCTTCTACTCTCCTCTCAATAAACTCCACACTCAAACTCTATCTGCATGGCATATTTGTCTCCTGCCCACCTGGTGCTCACCTGCCATGGGACCTGCCAGGGTCCCTCTCACACCATAAATCATAACACGAGTCACTTTAGAAAGCAGCCTGTGAGAACAGTACTACCACAGCATTTCTCCCTTCCCTTCCTCTGAAGGGTCTACAGGTCTCAGTGTTCAGATCCTGATGTCGCTGTGAAGAACGCCACTGGGGGATGGCTTGTAAGATTTGTTAGCCTCGCTGAATGAATGTACAATGATTCCTCTAACTAAGTCCTTGGTTGGAATGTTCCAGTAAGTGTTTATATATGTTTACTTTAAATGTCTTAAAATCATGAAAATTCATAACAATTTCTTTAATTTCCTTTTACTCTTTCTGGTGGTGCTGGGGATTGGCACAGGGCCCTGCCCACAGCTGGTAGGTGCTCAACCACTAAGCTTTAGCTTCAACTTCTGGAATTTTCTGAAGCAAAGGACAAAT